ATATGAATGAGTTTGAATAGAGATAATACAGAGATTACGAAAGAAGAAAATGTCAACAATGTTGTTGTTATTAATTATGTGTCATTTCTTTGTTTTCACTAAAATTTTCGCAATAAAAAAATGAAGATACGATATACTCATTCTTGATGCCACGTGTAACCTATCTTCTTCAAGAATGGTGCTAGTCCTAGTCACTTTATTCTTTACCCCTCCACTATCATCATCATTACTCATACGAAGCAAAGAATCAATCACAAAAAAACACTAACCAATCCTCCTCCATATGATCATCATTGAGAGTCAAGTCGAAATCAATGTCTCTCCAGAAATTTAAGCTTCTCGCCACTCACTGCAGCACCGTCGCGGAGAGTCCGACTCGTAGCCCAGTCATCCACCTCCGCCGCCGGAAAACGCTGCGTTTGCTACTCACACGCTCATCGGATCGGTGGCGATTACCTTATCGCCATGATGATTCTCCTGAGATCCAAACCAACGCCGATAAATCGATGGGGTCCGATGGTACTAGAAGCGTCTCTAAGATCCGATCTCGGCGGAAACTGAGAGAGCTTTTCGTCTCTTCGCCTCCGGTGGAGGAAAGCCAACGTGGCGGCGATTCGGGGAAGAAGAAGATGGAATGCGATTTATCAGTTAACGGCGTTAATAGTAACGGAGAGATTGGAGAAGAGTTAACGGTTCGACGTATGGGCTTTAACGGCTCGGTTAGGCCCATGTTATCTGGTACACTTCGATGTAGGTTACTTCGAAGAGCTTGGCGTCCTGTTCTTGTAACTATTCCTGAACAATAAACTTCTCAAACAAATAAATGATTTAACATTTTGGTCGATTGTTTATAGGTTACTTTCTATTTTCTTAAGAGTTTAATCCATTTTTCTTACTTGATTTTTGGCTAATTGTTTTTGGGATTCGTTTGTGAAAAGTTTATTTATCAGCCTTTTGGTGAAAATTGGAAGAAATGCTTGTATTTGTGTGAGAAATCATATGCTTTTAACTCAATAATGAAAATGAATTTAGGTCTCCTTTTACCTTTTTTGTAGCGGTTTGTCAAGTGAACTACAATCAATTAAAGAGAAAGCAAATAATAAACCAACCTAGAGAAGCAGTTTTACAACATGGAAAGTGAATCGAAACGATTAAGAGTTCCAGTTATGTTTTCAAAAGAAAGTATTGGGTAAGTCGAAAAAGGACACAAGCATTACAAGACACATAAGAAGTGCATAATCTTGTACAACCTTTGTTGTTACCTCTTTGATCCTAGCTAACAATGTAAGAAATGTTAGTTGGTGGGAATCCCATCACCATGGTCTGCCTTTACCTCCGAGCCGGCGTGCAAGCTCAAAATCTTTTCTCACTGAAATGGAACACAAACAGATATGGAAGAGCATGTTACATATGATTTTAAAAGTTAATATTGTTTCAAAGGGATATAGAAGTATGTGTTTGATTCCTAATTTTACTCTGAAAATGTCTTCTTTTGGAGTACTTACTTAGAGTAACACGTCTTGCATGGATAGCACAAAGCATTGAATCTGAGAACATACCAACTAAGTAATCTTCTGCCGCCTGCACAAAAGAATTTGCGATTAGGTAGATCAGTCATCAAGGGAAATTGACATTTCTCTGTTTCTATATTAAAACATTCATATCGAAGAAAAAAGGACTGGTACCTCTTGGAGAGCTACAAGAGCTTCAGCTGTCCAACTACGGATATCTGGATGAGCATAAATCTCGGTTATCTCTCTCACCTGGTAAAACAATGTATATCATTTTGATTAGAGCATGAAAATCAGTATTTCCAGATCACTGTATATTCATCTAAGCATAATCCGAGAATCAGAGGAGGCTTGCGATATAAGTATAACTATAGACTGAATTCATTGAACAGATATAGCAAAACAAATTAGAGTAATTTGTAGTTACATAAATAATATGGTTCTGAATCTATGACCCAATAACATTCTCCTTAACTAGAAGGCAGACAAGCTCATGATTGCTCTAAATTGTATTCAAAAGGCTATATCAGTATGTATGTTGAGACAGTAATCATGTTGGCAACAAGTACCAAAATTATGAATAACCAAGTTCATTGCAATTTTCTGTATGTGCAGAATCTGACGCAAATCCTAAAGATTAAACACCAAAAGTCTTGCTTCTCTGTTGGTATTGTGTGAATATGGCGGAAAAGGAAAGCAACAAGAAATAGAGAAATACGAGAAACTTACTACTCTTATAAAACTAGCAGCAGGAAGTAGACGGTCTGTGGTCTTCTGAAAATGGCGAATCTCTCTCAGAGCAACGGTCCCTGGCTTGTATCGATAAGGCCTCTTTTGTGAACCTAAAAGGACAAGAGAAAGATCCGATAAACACACAAAAGATGTTTCTGCATTCTGAATATGATCATAAGATGTTTCAAATTGAAAACTTACTTTGTGGCGTAGCCTGTCCGGTTCTGTTAGCTGTTCCTTTCTTATTCTTTACAAACAAAACAATTCACAAAATTCAGCAAAAGGAAAAGTCCAAGAGTAAGCTGCAGTCAATAAGCAATGTCGTCGAAATCTTACTTTACTACCAGTAGCTGGTGAAGTTGCTGCAATGTCAAAAAAGAAAAGTTCACACACAACACAAGAGAGATGAAAGAATCAAAGAGACCCAGAAACAAAACTCACTTTGTTGAGCATTATCTCCACCACCACTTTCACTAGCCCTTCTCGCTCGAGTCTACCAATTCGAAAATCGATTCAAAAACCATCCTAAAAGGATAAGGACAATTCGCATCTAAAACAACTCAGAAAACTCAAACGTGATACCTGCCGTACTGTACTCGGACCTGCCGCCGACGAAGAAGGGACATTGGCATCTACAGAATCAGATGCGAAATCTAGGGTTAACAAAAAATCCCGATTCCGATTATTGGGCGATTGAAAGAGAAAGAGCAGATGAAGAAATTACCTGTTTGATTCCGACTTCGTCGCGCGAAATGCTTCGTTCTCGCCATTAATTAAACCCTGAGAAATCGCACCGTGGGAGAGAACCAAAGAGAAGAAGCTTAGGAGATGAGAGAGGGATTTCTTCCCGCTCGACCTAAAATTTGATTTTTTTTCAATCCAAAATTTCAAAATCGATCTGCTTCACAAATTGGTCAAAGACGAGTCTTAATTATATTTGCCCTAACCTCGTATAGAGAGGATTTACCTCTGGTTAAACCCCAATTTGTCGACTAAAGAAAAGCCCCAATTCAATCTCTCTCTCTCTCGCATCTTTGGTAAAATTGCACTTTTGGTTTGACCCAATTCAATATCTCTCTCTTTCTTCATGATTTCCGTTTTGTTTTTGTTGAGTTAATAAAATTGTAATTTCAAGTGTTCGAGTAAATAAAATTAGATTAGAATAAATCATGAAGAAACCGGAAGAAAAGCAAAGAGTTTTTTTTTTTTTTTGTATGTGGAGAATCGAAGAACAAATTAGTGATTTTCTCATTAGAATTGTTAAATGAATCTATAAAATTCAAACCAGTAAAATACATTTTACACTGATAAATTATAGTATTGATACATTATATGAAATTTAACCTTGTGTCCCCACATTAGTTAATGGTTACATAAATCACAATACGGGAAACCAAAAGCCAATACGCTTATTTCAAAAATTTGAAATCGAAGAACTCTTAAATTGATGGAGATGTTACTGAAATACATCAAGATTGTTTGCAGTCGTATGGATCATCAAAGTTTGGTTCATGGACATCCACGAGGGAGATTATAAGGAGCTAAAACTACACTACCATAGTTTGTATTCATTGTGTCAAATGGGTTAAAACCATAACTTGCTAATCCTAACCTAACATTTCTTGTTTTTTATGCAAATTCAGGAAATTGTTGGTTGAATGTCTTTCATGCCATTCCATCTCGAGGATGTCTTAATTTACCATTTTGTTATCAAAATCAGCATGTCACCTTATATGTTCAGTTGTTAGTTGATGACATAAATAATCGCTGCAAACATGGTTTAAAAGAAAAATACCTAAGAATTTTAGCAGCATGTTGCTTCTTTCTATTTTTTTTTTCCAATCCATCATCAAGTATTTTTGATGCTTTCCACCTTGCTTTTCACAAACTTTACATGTCTCTCTAGTTGCGTCTTGCCCCCAATACAACATACAATTATTAGGAAACACGTGAATTGTCTCATACGTCAGTCCTAATTTGCAAATCGTTGTCTTCATATCACTTAATGAATATGGAAATTTTATATCCTCAAAATCTTCTTTCAAAAAATTGATTTTCATAGACATACTTTTATCGCTTATCTTAGAAATACACTTGATGTGATACAACTTGAGCATAAAAGATAACTTGCTGAGTGATTGACAGCCTTCATAAAGAGCTTGATTAAAGCTTCATAGCAACTCATCAAATACCTTTTTTTTTTGCTTCAAATTATCGAAATGCGAATTAAAGTTGATC